ATGTGGTCTTCTCCAGCACCACAAAACAGATTGGTCATCTCCAGCACCACAGTTTGAAAGCATCGATTCTTCAGCACTCAGCCTTCTTTATGGTCCAACTCTCACATCTGTACATGTCTAGTGGAAAAACCATAGCTTTTAACTATATGGACCTTTGTTGGCAAAGTGATGTCTCTGCTTTTTAATATGCTGTCTAGGTCTGTCATAGCTTTTCTTTCAAAGAATAAGAATCTTAATTTTGTGACTGTAGTCACTGTTTGCAGTGATTTTGAATCCCAAGAAAATAAAACCTGTCATTGTTTCCACTTTTTCCTCTTCTATTTGCCATGAAGTGATGGGATTGGATGCCATGATCTTAAGTTTTCTGAATTTTGAGTTTTTTAAAAAATTTAATTGGAGACTTTACAATATTGTAGTGTTTTTTTGCCATACATTGACATGTACAGCCATGGGTGTACATGTGTTCCCCATGAATTTTGAGTTTTAAACAGCTTTTCTCACCATCTTCTTTCCCCCTCATCAAGAGGCTCTTTAGTCCTGTTTTCTGCCACTAGAGTGGTATCATCTGCATATCTGAGGTTGTTAATGTTTCTCCTGGCAATTTTGATTCCAGCTTGTGATTCATCCAGCCTGGCATTTCACATCAATAGGTTAAAATCAATAATAAGCTAATGAAATTTGACAAGATACAAACCCTGAAATTTTTGGTCTCAGGAATTTTTGAAATATGAAGTTACTATCCACTCGTTTTTGTCAAAGGTTACCCTAGGTATGATTGAGATGTAGCTTATGCCAGTGTGAAATCTTCACAATTACTAAAACATTGAAAGACTATGTTCTTGGCCAGTTAATAATTTGAGGGTGGGGTGAAGGTGTTAGAAGAATAAAAGTTTAGGGCCTTAAATAAAGTAAAAATTGTTTTAACATATTGTCATTATTATTACATTATAATAATATATATGTAACTTCACATTGGCATTAGCTACACCTCATACTTAGGGTAGCCTTTGTCTAAAAATTAGTGGATAGTATCTTCATATTTCAAAAATTCTTGAGAATTCCCCAAATTTCAGGCCTGTATCTTGTCAAATTTGATTAGCTCATTATTGATTTTAACCTATTGATTTTACTGATGCGACTGATGTAGAGTTCCCACTGAGAGCAGAATGTCAGTTTTGCCTTTTGTCTGTTCACTTATCTATACTTTATTTGTAGGAATCATTTTCAATGCATGAGGGTCAAGTTAGTTAAAAATCAAATAATATGACTCGAAATCCAGTTAATTAAGCACAAGTAAAGTGTCATGTGTTGCTGAAAAATTTAAAAATCAGGAGCATACCTCATATTCACAGTCCCTTCTAGGCTGTGGATTCATCTCCTGTATTGTGTTCCTGTATTATGGATCATATGACACCTCTTCCTTTGATGTAGGGACTGAGGAGGGCATTAGTGTCTACCAGTAAATTAACCATTAGAAAGGTAATTTCTTACTTTTTAAGATAAAAATAAGATCTAGTAGTTCCAGCATTCCAAAGGATCATCCTATATAATCTCTTGAGTATATACACTCAACTTTGGAGACCAGTCGTTTAAATTCAGCTTGGAAAATGATCTCTGGGCCATTTTTCTTCCATAGTTGTTCAGATGACATTATGGTATTCTCTGTTTACACATCTCCACTCTCTAAGAGCACCTCTAAGACTGACTCAAGACAGTCACCTCTGAATGACTTTTATTTATTTATCCTCACACTCTTATATTCCTAAAATTGGGCACAGCATCCTGTAAATCAAATTGATTTAATCACACTGAGCAGTTTCACACTGCTACTTCTTTTCTTTGGTTCTTCTGCAGTCTTATCTTTGTTTTCTCCTTTTAAGTATTTTGTTTCTTATGTAAAGGTGGAAAATGAAGACAATACTGGAAAGCATTAATAAGCATCATCCAAAATGCCATCAAAATTAGTATTTCTAGACTTCTGTGTGTGGGTTACATAAATGGGATAAACAATGTCATTTGTTGACGGAAGGCAGAGAGATCTAGTATTAATAGAAAGAGGCTGGATCAAATATACTTGGCTACAGATTTCATCCCAGCTCTGCCATTTTTTAAGTTGTGTGACTTTGTGCAATGTATCTATTGCTCATTTACCCCACATCTGTTAACAGGAGTTAATAATGCCTATCTCTTGAGGTTCAGGGAAGCACTGAACAGGCACTCAGTAAATGCACATTTATTTTTCCTTCCTCTTAATCTTCACATTGACCTTGATACTGGAAGGCTTTCCTAGGGTTTATTATTAAACAACTCTTCTGTATCTCATAGTATCTGAGTGCAAGTATCTGGAGCAGAGACCATACTTACTCAATTTTGAAGACCAGCACCCAACATTATTTAGGTATTTAATATACGTTGGCTAAGTAAAGGAGATCTTAGAAGCAGTTTGCTTGTGGACTTCTGTGTGAACTGACAGGCCCTGGGTTTATCTAAATAAACAGCATCTCATATTCTATTTGCTATCCTCATTATTACATCTGCCTATATTTTCTTCTAGTTTCAGTTAAAAATGTAGCTAAGTGATTCTGAGCAAGACATCTGTCTAGTTTCCTCATCTATAAAAACAGAATAATAGTTCCATAATGGTACTCTGTAAACTTCATTAACATAATAGTACTTCGTAAGTGTAAAGTATTGTACAAATACTTATTATTACCCTAGAAGCCAGTTCATTGTGCATTTTATCTTTTGGACAGGCTTACACACCTCCTCCCCCCAACTACAATACTCACCTGTTCTGTGTCACTCAGCTTTCTTGTATCTTTTTCTAGCCCTCTGGTTTGTTACTTTGGCTCAGAATCACTGATCTCTCCAAGGGACCAACTAATGAGCCCTAACAGAACCCAAAGCACACACAGTTGAAGACATAAGGCTTAGACTTTAAGATAAAGCAAGACCAGGGGAGGTGAGGACTGTGTTTGAGAGAAGTACAAGGAATCTGAATCCTAGGTCTGCTTACTTTAGCTCTGTGGACCTTAGGTAAGTTAGTATCTATTTCTGACCCTCAGTTTCCTTATCTTTAAAGTGGAGGTGATAACAGTACTTATACCGTATGATTATAATCTGAGATAGCATGTGTGAAACACTTAAGAACAGCGTCTGGCACATTATAAACACATAAATATTAAAATTACTATAAACTGATAAGTGGTTAACAGCAAGTGAGAAGGTGGAGTAAGTTTGAAAGGTCAGAAAAACAATCATTGAATGTTACTTTCAGTGGTACTGTATTTTCTCATAAATTTCTCCCCTCCTTATGTACTAATTCTAAATTGAACTATTTTTTGTTTTCCTATAAGACTCACCTCCCCACCCCATCCTCTGATCAGATTTTTTTAAAGTGTCAGTTCAAAATATTTGAAGGCAGCAACAGTAAAGCTACTAATCATAACCTCAAGGTAGACTATTTTTGTACTTTATTATATACAATAGAATAGCTGTTTCCAATTTGTATAATCTAAACATTTGTCATTCAGCTTCCTGCCAGTGTAACTGGGAGTAGAGATGGGTGGTAAAGAAAAAGGCAGGATTTCTAGCTTTACCTCACAGCACTTTAGGGACTAGTGGCAGAGGTCTACATGGTAGTTTGCAGGGAGAGGCAACAATCATTTGACAAAGTTGCCATGCACTGAGTTTGCTTTCAACATTCTTTACCCTTCTCCATGACATCCAGAGACCTCAAGTTCTGTATTCATTGCAAAGAACAAGAGCTTCTACCCCTCCTGGGCTATCAAAAACCCATGTCCAGATTTGAGATTACAAATTGATTGCAGGTTGGTCACATCTACCCTGCAATATTTTTAGTTTGGCCTGCAGAGTTTGGAAATATTGGTGTAAAAATCGAGAGATTTCATACAAATATCATGCTTTATAAGGGTTTCTCCTGGAGGGGATGGGGGGAAGGGGACGGAATATCTCAGACCACTGTATCCACATTCTTCAGAGCAACAATCTGCTGGAGCCGAACAGCTGCTCCTTTCAGTTACAGCTCAGACACTCCAATTTGCCACGTTGCTTATCACTCCCCATTGTCTACACCAGGCCAGTTTCACTCACTTTTCTGGCCCCTATAAACATTCGAGTTTGCAAACCCTATCTAGACCTTTCCTGTCTTCCATCAAAGCTTACTTTGTTCTGTCCTAAGTTCCTCATCAGTTTTCCAAAGCAATAGCTAGTCAACCTGATCAAGTAATTTTTATATGTGCTCGCTACAGATGGTATCTGAAGAGAAAGGGATGACTGCAGGTGGAAATTACAGGTACCATGGGATTACAATTAGGATGGCAACTGTTCATTTTACTTTTTCTGTAACCATACCTCTCTGTCCTTGGGCAAACCGCAGGAATTTGAACACTGGCCTATGTGAGAAACCGTTTAAACAGTACTTTTATAGATCACCCTAGTTCCAAAAAACCAAAAACTACCAAGGCTATTCTGGCTCTCCGTTGCCTCAGAGGCTTCGAGATATCCGGCCTGACTGCACTTCCCCTCACCTGCTTTCGGGGGCCGTTCTGCGCCGACCGGTCGCACCCTAGAAGGGCGCTCAGCCAGCATGAGCTCATTTCTCAGGGGCCTTCTGGAAGGCCGGGCTTGGCAGCGCGCACGAGGCGCAGTCGCCCTCACTCTTATCAATGGCCTCCGCGACTGGGCGGGGCGCGGTCGCCCAGGGGCGCTGCCTCTCTAGCAGCTTTGTTCTCAGTTCAATGTCTGAAAATTCGCACTCAGCCTGAGAGGCACCCTGGATCTGTCTGGCCCTTTCAGGGAAGACGCCCGTGCTCGGGATGCGCTCTCCCGGGCGGAGGGGAGCCCCAGGCGCACAGAATTAGCCCCGCCCCGCCGAGAGCCACCAGTGGGTGGGGAGAGCCCCTCAACCCTCAGTTTGTTGGAGCGAGGAACCCATCGCCACCGACCACAGCAGTTTCGCACCGGCTAGCGCTCCCTATATGCGGTTTCCACACCAGCTGCGAGTGGCCGCAGGCCAGCCCGTCAGACCGTCCACCACGACCCCAGTCGCGCTTCTCCCCGCTCCTAGGACTGCCGCCGGAGGCCGAAGGCCAATCACACTGCAGCTAGGTCTTGCGATTAGACAGCAGCGGGTGCAGATTGGCTATTGCTACCAGTTTCGGCCTCCCTCCTTTTCCCTTTTGCCCCCATTCCAGCTCCTGAGCTTCAGGCCAATGAGAAGGCGCTTTACAGACGCCCTCCCTTCGCTCTCTACTTCTCCCCACCTCGGCGAGGGAAGAGACGTCCTGACTGGCCAGACTGTCCTCGGAAGCCCCATTCCGTTCACCAATCACCGAGGGAGATGCACTCCCAGCGGAGTTTCGGCCAATTACAAAGCGGCCACGGCGCCCAGCCGTGCGGTTTCGCCAGCGACTCCGGGCTTCACCGTCCTTAACTCTTCAAGCTTTTTCCTGAGGGCCAGCGACTCTGATTGGTCACTGTTGTCTTTGCCGAATTTCTCCTCCAGCCAGCCACAGAACAAGGCGAACCCACCTTTTCCTCGGTCGGCTGTCTTCGGCATTTTCCGTCCTTGGGCGTGAATTTCCAGCGACACTTTCTGATTGGCTCTTCAGGTCAATCGGCTTTTTCCGGGAGGATCCGCAAACAAACGACATCCGTGATTGGTTCCGCTCGGGTTTCGGCTCCCCTGTCGAAGGGGGCGGACGCCCTGCTCGGCCGGCGATTCCCAGACGCCTCTTACGCGGGCGGCCGGGCGCTGGGCGGTGTAAGGCTGGGTGGGGGAGGAAGGAGGCGGAGGACAAGTAGGAGGGGGGAGGGGGTGTGGGGAAGAGCTAGGCGGCTGCGCAGACGGCACTCCTCACAGAGAGCAGCACCCGACCCGGGCGAATGCGGGCTCGTGCTGCTGCTGCTGCTGCCTCCGCCGCCGCCGCCGCCCGGGCCGAGTGACAAAGGAAGGAAGGAAGGAAGCGAGGAGGAGCCGACCCCGCAGCCGCTGACAGGGCTCCGGGCTGGGGGCAAAGCGCGGACACTTCCTGAGCGGGACTGTGCAGAAGCGAGGGGCGGGAGGGCGGCCGCGCTGGTGCCTTGGACGGGGGAGGGGGCCCCGAGGGACGGAAGCGGTTGCCGGGTTCCCATGTCCCCGGCGTATGGGGAGCAGTCGAGGAGCCGCTGCCTGGGGTCTGAAGGGAGCTGCCTCCGCCGCCGCCATGGCCGCTGGATCCAGCCGCCGCCTGCAGCTGCTCCTGGCGCAATGAGGGGAAGAGCCGCCGCCACCGCCCGACTCTGATTGACTCGCGACTCCGCCGCCTTCCAGTTCGCCGGGCCCCCGCGGTCATCCCGCCGGATCCTTGCCGCTGCCGGAGCCGCAGCGTTTCCCGACGCATCTCCGAGCCACCCCTCCCTCTCCCTCCCTCCTTCCCATCCCCCCTTCTTTTCAAGCGTGAGACTCGTGATCCTTCCGCCGCTTCCCTTCTTCATTGAATCGGAAAAAAAATCCCCGAGGAAAATATAATATTCAGAGTACTTATTTTCAATCCAGTATTTGTCCCCGTTTCACGTGATATATATTTTTTAGGACCTCCCACCCATTTCTGCTCTCCAAGGAAAGGGAGGGGAAAGAATTGTATTTTTTCCCCCAGCCCCGGATCGTCTATATGTTAAATAACCGTACTGATCTGTCTTCAAGGAGAAATATATCGCTCGCTTTTTTAAATCGCTGTACAAAAGAAGTGAAAAGGCAAGAGGACGAAGTCTTTTTCTTTATCTTGTGGGAGAACTTAATGCTGCATTTATCATTAACTTAACACCCCAACATAAAACAAAAGGAAGAAAAGGAGGAAGGAAGGAAAAAAGGTGATTCGGAAAAAGAGTGATCATGTCAGGGCGGCCCAGAACCACCTCCTTTGCGGAGAGCTGCAAGCCAGTGCAGCAGCCTTCAGCTTTTGGCAGCATGAAAGTTAGCAGTGAGTATTGATTTTATTTTACACCCCTTCTCCACCTCCCCTTTGAATAAGAGACTTTGAAATACCAGGATCTTAAAATACAAGACCTGCTGATAAAACAGAGGTAATGGGAAAGGGCAAAAACCTGTCTTCAGTGAAGGATGAGGCAGCTTCCTTTTTTCCTCCTGCGATATCCCTTCCCAGGTCTCATTAACCTTGAATCGAGGGAATGTGATTTTTATTTGGATGATTTTGTCTGAAACTTAGTTCTTTTCTTATAGTTTTCTAGCAATTGATAGCTTTATTAAGTGGTTGAGTGTTTCCACCTTAAAATAGTGATGGAAGTGTTTACTTGCTCATCCTTTTGAATAAAGCGAAGGACAAGATTCATAAACCATTATGTGCTTTTCCAGAGTGTGTCTTTTGGAATGAGGGATAGTTTAGTTAGCTCAGGTCTCGAGGGTTACCATAGTTTTGTATACTTAATGGAAGAGGTAAATGTCACCGTCTCCTAACACTTCTTTCTTGCTTGTGTGACTATACAAAGTATTTGTTCTTAATCCAGAGATGAACTTGCTAAGTAACCACATTTCGGTTTGAAGGCGAGCTTTGATTCGTCTCTTTAGAAGGGACCGGTGCCGCTGATAGATAGCAGCAGTAGTATCTCAACATGCATTGTTCTAAATTGGATACGTGGTTTAATATGTTATCTCTTAACCTTCCCGTTTTGACATTGCCAATCTACCACTATAGAGTTAATGTTTAATCAAAAGGTAACTTGAAAGTAGGTCCGAGTTTTGAATGGGGCTTATGTTGTCATGTTGCCAAATAGTAAGTTGAATGTTAATTGTCACTGACTCATCATTGGAGTTCAGCTTTGGGGTGCCATTGCTTTCAGTACTTGCTAAATGAACTAGAGTTCAGGGGTTCCTTCTTAGGACTACTTACAACAGTCTTGCATTGGTTTCCTTTCGAATTCAGATAAGACTATGAAGTTAGAAGAATATGGATTTAGACTTTTCCATCTCAGGTTTTGCAGAAGGTTGTGGTCCCAGATTTAATAAGGGTGTTTGGGCTTTGTTCAAGGTTGTTGCTAGACGTCTATACTCTTCCCAGATTTGTGCTCAAAAAGTCTATTTTCAGTGTTTGGTATACTCAGTATCCAGTGTTTTAGTGTATCTCTGCTTATGGATATGTTTATGTGATGTTTAATGACAGTTTATTTAAACATACTTAAAGAATTTGACAGAAGTATCTGTATTATAGTTTCCTTATTCCTTCAGAAAGGGGCATGAATGAGGGCAAAGAAAAACTGTTTTGCTACTTAGAAGGAGAGAATTGAATTGATATAAAAAAAGTATATGCTGTTATGTGAAACTGATTATAAAATGAACACTCTTATTTGAACTCAGGATTTCAATTCGTGGTGGCTTTTGGAAGTTGTCTGAAACAGGGTAGTCTAAGGTAATAGCTGAATGGGAGATTATTTTTGAGAGTTAAATTTTTTTTTGGTGACTAGCTAGTTCAGAATGCAGAGTATGTGAAGAGGGAAGCTGATGATGCATCTTTCAGGGAATGGTCAAGCTTTCTAAGCAATTCATGGGGTCATTTGAGAGGAATATTTTAAAATTCTGGGGTAATTTTCATCTATGATGAAGCAAATCTCATAATAGCTCCTGAAGAGCCTCTTGTGGTACTGGAGTGTTAGGATGTTTTTCATCTTGGTTTAAAGACCACTCGAAATCAATCTTGGGTAATTAGTTTATTCAGAGAGCAGAATGGGATACCTAATAATACTAAATTTGGGGACTTTTCATTTAGTTCACAGGATTTTCTTTGAATCCTTTGTGGATGTTGACTGAAGATGGAGCAACTCTTGCAAAGTGCGGGTTAAAATGTTGACTTTTCTGTTACCATATAGGTCAGCTTAACACTTAAGAAGTTGGAGTTCAGTGCTGACTCTGTGTTTTTGACAACCTTAACTTTAAATGCATTTTGGAAGGAAGTCTTTGTTGGAGTGCTGGTGTTCTAAGGGACCCCTTTTTAAGCGATAAGAAATTATAGTCCTTGGTTTGGAAAGCTTCGTTTTTGAGGCAGATTATGGGACAAAACGTGAGAACAGTAATATGATGACTGCAAGACTATAAATGCAAATAGAATATTTTGTTCAGAGGGACAAAAAATAAAGGCATGAAGTAGATGGCTTGGAGGGAAGACTTCTTGCAGAGGTATGTTTTAAGGCAGCTGTTAAAGGAGGCAGTGACTTGAATTGAGAAGCATAAAGGGTCCTAGGTGGACAGAACGGGCAGAGGCACAGAGGTGGTGACTTTTGTATTTATAAAGCAGGTTAGTAAATCTGAATAAAAGGGGCCTAAATAGGAAAATAAGAAGAGATGGAATTTGAGAAATATGCTAACTGATGGAAAGCAGAGGGGTCTTATGACTTTGGTTGAGATTCAAGAGAGTTTGGAATATACTATAGGTTGCTGAACAAAATATTTGAAGATGATTTGAGCAGCAAAGTTGATGAGTTAGAAACCAGACATCAGATCCCTTTTAGGGAGTAGTAGAGTATGTTGTGAATAATGAGAGAATATAAAGCAAAATTGAAAATCAGATGAAAAGAACACATTTGAGAGACAGCGTGAATGAACTGGCAGGACTTTGGATTGGATTGAAGGGGGGAATATTTGGGAAGGAGTCAGGAGTTAAAAATAAATTCTGATGTTACTGGTCTGGAAGATTTGACCGCCAAGTTATATTGTTGATTGTAATGGGAAAGTTGAGAAAGGGCTGAGATGATAGATGAGTTCACTTTGTAAAAATTTAATATGCAATAGATTTTCTTGAAATTCAACAGACAGCAGTTGGTTACTGGCAATCGTATTTAACTTAACAGTCTGTTAATTGCACTGTCTCTAATTTTTCTATGTCTGAAAATGCTGGATTTATTTTCAGGAGTAGTAAACTAAGAGTTTTTATTCTTTCCATTTCTCAAAAAAAGAAAACATTTTTTAATGTAAATTCAAAAGATCTCACACTTGAAACCTAGTTATAATAACCTGATGGTAATTTATTTGAAAACAATGAAAACATTTTTTGGACTAAGCTGTAACATAAAAATATTAGATATTTTATACAGCCTTCAATCTTTGGTACATTCTTAAGACTAGTCTCATAAATAATGGTTATTTTAGGTAAACCTTGCTGTTTAAAATAATGTTAATATGCAGACTCCAGCAGAAATTAAAAGTTGATTTATTCATTTATTTACTTTTTGCCTTTTGTTTTGGTTGTGCTAAGTGTTCATCCGGTTAAGACGAGTATATTTGATTTTTTTTTTTTAACCTCAGTGTGGTGTAACCATTTTTTTTTTTTTGGTCTGCGTTCATATTCAAGTGTTATTAGATAAACGTTAATGGCTAGACAGTTCTTCTGTAAAATCACATGATATTTTACTCAAAATGGAGGCAGTAAGTTGCTGTCTATGGTGATTTATTATTAAAATATTAGTAATAAGTCTTTTGATAAATTATTAGTGAAAATTTAGCTAGTTTCCTAGCTAAGTCAGTGAGAAGTTATTTTTTTCATACAGGGTTTCTTATATCAAATTTCTTTAGTGAGAATAATAGTAGTTTCATATTGCTGTGCAGTATTTAGTTGTATGGTGGCTAAAGCCAAAGAGTAGGTGGCAACTTAGAGTTACTCTATTCCTGAGGAAGTTTAATCTCATATAAAAATCAGGTTATTAGAATTTCACCAGTTTCTAGATTTTCTAGTGTGAAAGAGAGCTCATGTGTGAAACTGAAAACCAGAATTTTATCTTCATTAAAATTTCATTCCCTTCCCAACCAGACCTTTCCAGAGTTGTTGAAAAACTAGACCGTCATATAAGAATTGCATGCTGTCTTGTTAAATGTGCCCCTAGAATGCTAATTGTGAAATGACTTAAAAGGCACAAGTGCTAAGAAAAACTTCCAAGGGAACCCAGAGATTCATAAATCAATTCATGACTGATTGGGAATTGCATGTAGAAAATGAGGTGACATCTCATTTCATTTGCGTGATTCAGCTGGAAATCAGCACAGACTTGTACCCTGTGCTGTCCGCCCCTTGATTTGAACTTGGCTTGCCAGTGTGAGATACTATTCTGGAGAAACAGGCAGGCTGGGGACGCCAGCTTAAGTGTCAGCAGCAGATTCTGAGACCAGGGGAGGTCTGTTTTTGTGTGTGTTTTTTCTTTATGTATAGAGAAGGCTGTGAAACATGCGTGTGCTGACCCTGGTGCCACAGTTCCATACTTAACACTCATGGGATTGTGGGACAGGGATGGAATTGGGCAGGCTGTGGGACTGTGGAGTCTCTTGTGATGCTCCACCCTGCAGCAGGAGAATGGAGGGGCAGAGCACGTGGGTGTGATGGGATTACATCTGGTACTAACAGGACCAACCTGATTTCCCAGATACTGTTCTACTAAGAACGTAATCATCATGAGTAAATAATTTATTGGATGTTTAGCATCATTTTTCTAGCCTGTTTTTTGGGGGGCAATTGAAGGGAGTGGTGTGGAGAGGAAGGAAATCTTTCATGATTGCAAGGATAGAAATATTTTCATGGTTCATTGATTTTAAAGTAGAGGTTGCAGTCTTTGCTTCTATCTAGGGTTGTACAAATCATCCTTAGTTATATAATTGTCTTTGACTTTGGTTGAGTGTGATATAGAAATGTTTATTTATATGAAGACCTGTGTGAATAGAGGGCTTCCCTGGTGACTCAGATAGTAAAGAATCTGCCTGCAGTGCAAGGGACACAGGTTCAATCTCTTGAGTCTGCAGGATCCCCTGGAGGAGGGCATAGCAATCCACTCCAGTATTCTTGCCTGGAGAATTCCATGGACAGAGGAGCCTGGTGGGCTACAGTCCCTGGGGTCCCAAAGAGTCAGATATGACTGAGCACATACTCTCACGTGAATAGAAAAGCAAGGAAAAACTGACCTAAAGGAGAGCAATTTGTTTTTCCAG